CAGACAATTGGGAACACTTCCTCAAGATCATGATGAGATTTTAAAAAACTTCTTAAAACTTTTTTTTAAATGATGAGACTTTTTCCCCTTAATCTTTTTCATCTTTAAGTCACAACTATGAACCTCTCTCCTAAGCTTCTCTAACCTCAACTCTAAAATACAACCCAGAACCCAACATTCCCTCTGGGCCAGTGGGTGTGGCACATCAAGTCAGAGCTGAGGAGATACCTACACAGCTCAGTAGAATAGACAGCTTGTTCCCAGCCCCACATGCATGAGCCTTCTTAAGTTACTACCAAAGTTGTAGACTTTAGGAAATTTGTTTGGTTTCTATGTGGTTTTGTTGTGATGATTTGACTTAGACACCTACCCATTAGAGACTTAGCACTGGCTGAGAGATCAGGTAATTTTGCATCAGCATTATCAGGATGTGCTTGATCACAGGAAGGCAGGAGGTATGTAGGCAGGAAAGTTTTACAGTTGTTGTTAAACCTGAAAATTTTGAGGAGAAAGACTCAATCCATGATTGTCCAATTGAAGTAAGAGTTATTAAATACTGGTCAGGAAGGTAGACACTGTCAAGGTCTATACCCTGGATTCCCAGAGAAATGGTGCTGAATTAGGTCAGTCAGGTGCCTATAAAGGCCAAACCCATGAGGTTAGATACTTTCTACCTTCATCCAATCCCAGGCAAGCATACATCCTGATGTACTTCCTGTCAAAACAGTTAAACCTCAGCTAGTTTGATCTTCTTCTTTGTTAGGTTCAACCTGAATAAATGCTTATCCATTTATTCAAAAACCACATTGTGTTATGATCAGGTACAGAACTTTTGCCTCCAGTGTTGTGGATTTAGTGCTCAGTTCAGAGTTCCTGCAGCTTTGTCCTTTCACTGACTACTTTATGGTAGCCAAGAGAGTTGAGGTTGGCTGCCAGCACTTGGAATCTGGAAGAACACATGGACACATTATTCTTTTTTCTCTAAAGCTATCCAATTCTTCTTTTGGTCAGATGCAGATAGTTGAAAGATGTTATGAGGCAACCCAGCAGCTTGCTGCTGCTAATGCCCATGTATGATACTGCTGTCCGTGAGAGAATGGGCTTCCATCTACCCTAGTATGCTCTTCAACAGAAGGTTAATCAAAAGACGGTGCAGTTCCATGAAAGCTATCCCCAGGCAGCTTCCGGATTTTGTGAACTGCCTGCCACTTTCTTTACTCAAGGACTTCGAATTGCATTCAGATTACAATGAGAAGCTGGGAAGATGAGTTTCTGTGCTTACTCAATATGAATGAGGCTTTTGTTTAAGTTGATTTTTGCTACAGTATTTACAGTTACAGTTCTCTTTACTGCAGAGAGTGGAAAGTACCTCAGAGGTTGCAAGGTTTTTACTAGAGGAAAAGCTTTTTGGGGTTTTGTGCTTTTGTTTTGTAAAGTGTTTTGTTCAGCATGATAAAAAAGCAAAATACCATCATTATCACTGGCCTTCCTCCACAGTGACTTCGCTCCAGATTCTCGCCAGTAACTCATGTTCACGTATTTCAACACAGTTCCCAGGCTAATAGGACTTTTATTTATTTATTTGCTGGTTTCAGGATTCCACAAGAATCAAACATCCTTCTAAGGTTCCAATCTACTGTCACTGAGCACAAGGTGGGTAGATGAAATTACTGCTTCAGTAACAGAGGGCCAAGGGTCACCAAAAGGTCAAAAGATTAGGAAGGACTTAATAATAAATATTTGTGTTTCTGCTGTGGTAGTGGAGAGAATTAAAAATGAGAAAAATGTTCAGTAAAAATATGGAAAAGCGAATGTTAGGAAAATGAAGGGCACTTACTAATTATTAACATGACAAACTTGTAGCTCCTCTATAGAATTATCAGTAGACAGTCTGAACTAGCATACCACTTTTAATGAAAAAAATCCATCACTTTAATTATATTCTCATGTTTTCTGTATTGTTTGTCATATTAGTCCCAGGTTGTCTGTAGACTGTAGGTGTTTTTGAGTCTTATGTCAATTTTTTAAAAAGATTTATTTATTTTCATTTTGTGTGTATGAATGTTTGGCTTTCATGTTTTTAAGTGTGTTAGCTGTGTGCATGCCTGGTGCCCATGGAAGTCAAAAGAAGGCTTCGAGTCCCCTGGTACTGCCATGTAATTGCCAGAAACCAAACCCAAGTTCTCTGCAAGAGAAGCAAGTGCTTTTATCTACAGAACCACCTTCCCAGCCCCTAATGTCAGTTTTAAAGAGTAATTCCTAGGGTCTGGAGAGTTGGCCCAGTGGGTAAGAATGCTTACAACTCAACCATGAGGACTTGAGTTCAAATTCCTGCATCCACATATAAAAATTAAAATAAAAATATAAAAACAACTGTGTATACCCATGCACAACTATAACCTCAGCATTGTCTGGGGTGGAGCCAAGAAGATTGCTGGGGCTTGCTGACACCAGGTCAGCTTCAGGTTCAGTGTGAGAGCCTGTCTCAAGGAATAAGATTGAAAAGTGACAGAGCAGGATACCCTGTGTCCTGTTCTAGCCTTTAGGTATGTACACACACACACGCAGACACACACAGGCTCGCACACACACACTTGCCTAAGTGCACACATGAAAATCGATTTGCTATAATTTTATATGGAGTAATTTTATGTGGGTCCTTCCCATTCCTTCTTTCAGCCCATCCAAGGTCCTGTCCTTCCAGTTTCCTCCTTGCTCCCCTTCAAATTCACAGCCTATTATTGTTACATAAATTTATGTGTACATATATATGTATGCACAAATCTACAAATACAACGTGCTGAGTACATTTTTTGCTGTTTTTGTGTAGATGGTTTCAGAACTGACCACTTTGTAATGGATAACCAACTAGGGGGCTCATGCCTGGGAAAGGCCATTTCTTCTTCTCTCAGGAATCATAGCATCTCAAATTGATACTATTACATTGTTTTAGCATCTTCAAAGGAGTTTCATGCATGTTATCTCTTGTTAACCTCATTGTCACATGCCGTACTGAAATGCTTTACTCCCCTATGTTTTACAGAGGAGAGAATTGAAATATAACACATTTATCTTACTAGGTTGGACTCATGTGCTAAAAACATACAGGTCATACTAAAATTGAAATTTCTATCCAAAACTATTTCACTACCTTTATTACAGACTTAAAAAATTTTTCCCTAAATCATTGTAAAATAAGAGCAATAACAAAGTCTGGATAGATGCATTGTTATTCTTCTATCTTGGTCACTGCAAATATAATTCAATATTCTATTACATTCATGTGGTCCAGAACATCAATTATAGTCCAACAAACACAAAATATAATTATAGGAAGTAAAATAAATTTTATATTTTAAAGTTTATTCATCATTCTTTATAAAATGTCTTACAATGGTATATATATAGAAAGTTCTGGAACATGAATTTATAGGGTTCTTGTTGTCCTTCAAGCAAGTTGTATTTTTTTCACTGTGAAATCAAAAGCAGATGGTCTTATGAAAAAGGCCTGTCTGCCATTTTCCAGCCAATGAGCACCCTAACACATGCTCTTCTGCTGAGACAAATGCCCTCCCTACTTTACCACAGATTTTGAAGGCCCGTCTCCCAGTTTGTCCTATGACTTCACAGTGAAATTCTTGTTGCTGACTTTGACATTGAAGCAGTTGGACATTCAAGGGACTGTGTCTTTAAGCGGGGTTTCTGCCCCACCCACAAGTCTACCCTAGATGTTCATCGTACCCAGTGGGAAGAGTGTGGCCAGTGAACTGTACTGACTGCACACTAAAGTGGGGCTGTTAACATAACCACAGCACTTTTCAGTTCCTGGGGATTTCTCTCTTGTGTTTTAAAGATTGATCTTGTGTGTGTGGGTGCTTGGCCTGCACGTGTGCCACATGTGCATGCCTTGCACCCACAGCGGCTAGAAGAGAGCTTCAGATACCCCGGAACTGGCTATAGACGGTTATAGGCTGAGAGCTGAGAACGGAACCCTCGTCGTCTGTAAGAGAAGCAAGTGCTCTCGACCACAGTGCCATCTCGCCAACATGAATTTAGGATTTTTCAAGAATATTGCTTATGAATATTTCCTGGGCTCAGTGTTGAAGAATGAAGATGGAGCACAGGAAAATGGCTCTGACTGAAACTGTTTACGCATTGGTGCAGCCAGTCAGCAAGCACACCCTGCACCTTGCACCCGCTCTTCTTCCACAGTTCCGGCTTTAGACATTAACAGCCGAAGTGCTCAGCACGGTCGGTCCAGCGCACAAAAATTCAATGCTGTTACACGATTATTCCAAGTTAGGACAAACGTTCTGTCACTGAGCTACACTCTCTCCCACAAAAAAAAAAAAAAAAAAAAAAATCCTTTGGAGAAGACTGAATCAAGAGAACTATATCTATGTGAGGCCTTTAAAGCCAAAGTAGCCTTTTGCAGGCTCTGGCAAGATGCGGGAAACAAGGACAGATAAGCAGAAAACAGGACCTTGGAGGAAAGAACAAAGAACTAGGACTGGGTTAGAAGCAAACTGGCATTAGGGGGTTGGATTTAACAACAGATTCATAAAATAAGGCTTTCTAATCAGAGTAGCGCAATTGCCTTCAGCTACAACCTGAAACGATTAAGAGTCAAGTGGTAAATCAGATACAGTGTTTTATAAAAAGTCCCTGCCCTGGGCTCTTCCAATCACTAGGGTTTAGTCGGAGGAAATGCCTGCTTGTGGCTCTTTCCAAGTCCTGGCAAGGCGCCGAGATCTGTAGTCCTCCGGGATACTCTGGCCCACTTCAATGCCCGAGATCTCGCTACGCTGCGGTTCCTTAATGCACTGACTTGGGACAAATGTGCATTTAAAGCCTGGCAGGGAGCAGTTTTGGAGATTGCTGGCCTGGGGGCTGCAGCGATGGGCTTTGAGAAGGCAAGTGCCAAGGGACTGCTCAGGCTCCTGAACGGATCGCAGGCCTGTCCCATAGCCCCGCGGGGTACGGAGCCGGCGGAGGGACTGGCAGCGGGCCTCCAGGGACGCTCCCCGGAGCGCGCTCAGGTGCATCAGGCCCTGCTCTGCAGCTGCTCCCGCGCCGCCCTGGGAACGGGGCTCAGCTGAGGTCGCAGCTTTCCCGCCCGCAGGCTGGGGGCGGGGCGGCCCCAACCACATCCCCCGCGACCCATCCCCCAGGGCAGCCCCAGCCTCCCACGTCCTCCGGACGTCTGTCCGTCCTGCGTCCCCAGCGAGAGACATGGCCGGGAGCAGTGAGAAGGCGCCAGACTCCGGGCGAGGCGTCGTGGTAAATGCTAACTCCGGAACCCCGGGCTCCCTTAGCTCGCTCCCCTTCCCTCCCCTGGTGGCATCTCCCTCCTTTAGCTGAAATGCGTTCGGGTGAGAACCGGCCAAGGCTTTGTTCCTCCTCAGGGCGGAGATCGCTGGCTTCCTCGCATCCAGGCCTCCCCACTCCACCCGGTTTGACGAAACCCCTTCTAAAGTCGCCGGTTCATCCCAGTAACTCCTCCCTTCAGACCCTCCCCCGGGGTCGAAGCTTGCGTCCTACCGGGTCTCCACTTCTGCTAGCCACAAGGAGCCTGGCCTGCGAGCTGGGGTTTGGGAGGACCCCAGCGTGGAGCTCTAACGACCCTCCTAACAGGACTGTCTCTTCACATCAATGAGTTTCGAGTTTTGTTTTCAAAACAGCTACTGAGAACTATTTCCGGCCGTCACAGAGTAACGCAAGTGAATGTACTGGAGCTTTGAATCTCCGGCGCTGCTCTACGGGAGCCAGCAGCCATAGTGCCCTGTGCCTTGTCTGTGAAGGAAGACAAACTTAGCAGCAAATACCTAGTAGTGTGCCAAGGTGGAAGGATGGGGTGTGGGGCTAGATCCATACCTTTCAATTCCGGGGTTCATTCTGTGTCAGCCAGAGGGTATCTTCCTTCCAGAATCTTGGAATCAGGCTCTAGCGGATGGTGGTTTTGACTGCCAGGATTGGAGTGAAAAGGTGTGAGGGTGGTGGGTAGGGCTGATTTGCCGTTAAGGTTCTCTTTCCAAGAGCTTAGTGTGTAACTCACAGCTAATCTGTTTATTGAAATGAATGGATTGAATTAGAATGAGTGGGCTGGGAAGGAAACACCTCTCAGTTAAATAGAACTGTTCAAACAGGTTGAAATGTGGGGCTGAGCTCTTAATTAAACAGCAGGACCTGCCTTTTTTCCAGGAACAGTGCCTTTAAGTCTTCCCTGCCAGGCTCTGCTTCTACAGTTGGTAGCAGGACAAAGTTTCTTCTTGGAACTTGCTTTCTAGGGGAGTCAAGATAATTCAGATGGCCAGGTCTACAACAGGAAGGAAGGAACAGTTACTGGGAGGGGGTGGGGAGCAGTCTCTTTTACCCGTATGATCAAAGAGTTTGCAGTGATGTTTCACCCAAGATCTGAAGCATAAACGGAAAGCAACCATGTGGAGACCTAAGGCAGGAGACACATGTCAAGGGCAAAGAGATTACTGTATCTGATCTGTGCTTTTACCACTTAAACGCTCCAGTCACTGTGGGTGTGTTAGGCCAGATGGGAGAGGCATGAACATATGAAAGAGGAAATCATTAAATTAACTCCCATATTAAGTCTTTAAGGCTCATAGGTCAGGATGCCCTTGTAGGCAATTTGAAATTCATACTTGAAACTCCAGATTGTGATAGGGTAGATTTGGAAAACCATCAGCAGGTTAGTTAGTATTTGGGGGATACATGAAAAATGAAGTAAAAAATGTAGGAAATGAAAACAGGAAATGAGAACAAATGCCTGGAAAGCCCCCATTTGTGAGAGGCACACCACGGACACAAAGCCAGATAAAGGGACCAAGAATGAAGAGCTGTGTGGGAGAACGCAGAGTAGATACCCAGAGAACAGTTTGGTAGAAGTGCATTTGCAAGGATCATGAGATCATCAAGAGTGTCAGATTTTACCAAAAGAGCAGGCAGGTTGGGGATAGGCAAGAGGCCATCAGCGAGGAGTTTCCTTTCAGATAGCCCATTGCCAGAATGCTGAGAGTGCCACTGCATCATGAATACTAGATGCTTCTGAAAAAGAATGGCGTGATCCAGCTGGAGGTGTAGCTCAGTGGCAGAGTGTTTGCCTTGCATAAAATCCATCCCAGCACCACAGATTATTAAGAATCAAAAGAAGATAAATCTAGTTGTATTCACAGGATGGGTAGATTACTAAACTCTAAGAAGTGAATGAAAGAACAGTGTAAATAGAATAGTCCCATCTACTAGTGTCAACAGAGGCTTTCTTGGGAAAGATGCATAGACATAGCAAGAGCCATTAAAGAAAAGAAGCTGTGTGTACCAGCTAGTCTGGGGCTTGGGCACCATGAGTAGTTGCTAAACTGCACAAGTGCCCCCTACGATTTGGAATAACCAGTGTATGATGGAAATGCTTTACAGATGTTAATTTGTCCAGTGGAACCTAGATAGTAAAGTTCAGAGAAAGTTCAAGTTCTGAAGAAAGGAAAGGGTTAGGAAAGCTATAGAAGATAGGTATGCTGGCAAAAGAGCAATCCCTTAAAGATAGAGTGAAAAAAATCAAAAGGAAATTATAACAATAGAAATACTAGCAGGAAAATAATATGAGGGATTTACTGTATACTTTTTTTAGTTTTTGTAAAGTTTCACAGAAATCTCTAAGTAGATACTGAACCGTCCCCATTTTACAGAAGCAAAAATGAGGACTCTGAGAGACTACAGAAAGCCTGGGGGTATGTAGTTACGCTAGGCCTATAACTATCAGATGGCAGAAGCAAAGTCAAAATGAGTGTTCAATCACTGCTCTCTATAAAAGGCTGTAATCCAGGTAGGGCTGCTCTAGAGGACTGGTAGGTTCGTGAGAATGTGTTGCTATTGTAGAATTAGGACAAAATAATTGAGTGTGACTGTTGGGGGAGCTACAAGATGGAATAGTTAAGGGGCTGGAGAGATAGCTCAGTGGTTAAGAGCACTGACTACTCTTCCAAAGAACCTGGTTCAATTCCTAGCACCCATATGGCAGCTTACAACTGTCTGTAATTCCAAGATACCTTCACACAGACATACTTGCAGGGTAAACACCTATGCACATAAAATAAAAATAAATAAATAATTTTAAAAAAAGATGGACTAGTTAGAAAGATCAGGAAGGAAGGCTTTAGACTCTAGAGTAAAGCACCCGACGTGTTTAACCATGAAGGAAAAACCTGGGTCAGAAGAGCTATGGTAGCAAAAATGGTTAGAGAAAAGGAGCCGAATGATGTACACAACAGTACAGTTTGTGTAAGAAAAAGGACTATTAAGAAATTTAAGACAGTAGCCCAGCTCTACCAGACAGAAGGATACACAAACAGGGATGTCTCTCCTTCCAGGGAATGGAAATAGAGGAAAACACCTATAGCTGCTCTAGATGGTAAAAAAATAAAGGATGGCTGATATGTCAGCCCCAGACAAGACATTGATGGGATCTCATTAAAGCTCAGGGAACATTGTGGAAGAAGGAACAGAAAGAATGGAAGAGCCTCAAGATAGATGAAGGGGCTGGGAGAAGGCAGGGTGTAGGGATGGGAACCATGGACTCACAGCATCTGGGTACACTAACAATGGACCCACAGCAGTGGGGCCCTCTTACCAGTCAGCTGTGGACAGGGAAAGGACCCCAGGCCTTTATTACATGTGACTCATCTGTTGGCAACCAACAGCTTGGTTTGTGTACCCATTGTTGAGCCCACCAGGCTCTGATGGTTAGTTCCAAACTTCCAAACTCGAGATCACCCAGACGACCCTTGCTAATCAATGTGGAACACTAAACAAAAACAAAAACTCATAAGGGAAAGGTAGTTATAGGGAGGTGGAGTTGGCTGAAAGAGGGCAGAGAAAAGTGGAAGGAGGATGGGTCCAAAATACATAGTGCATATATATATATATATATATATATATATATATATATATATATATGAAAGAACAATTTACTAACAAAAAAATTAAGATGGGTCTTATCTACAAGTGACTCATTTGGATTGGGTAGGAGGGGTATTAATGCATTATAAAGAATAAATGGAAGCACAATAATAGCCAAATGAAAGGTTATAGACAGAGTTCAAAGTTGATTATTACTGGGTTAGGACCTGGTAAAGGCACCAGATGTATAATTGACACTTTGTGGTTATTTCTCACAGAGAAAAGGTTCTCTGCCTGTCTGGCTTTTGGGGGTCAGATTCTTAAATATCTTTGTGTCTCCAGTCTGTGTTTTACTAAGTGTTGTCAAAGGATTCATAGTACCTACACAAGTATGTCTAGTAAAAGATGAGGAAAACCAAAGTTACTGTTGAGTTTCTGTTATGGTTGACTCTCTCCTTCCCTGTGTCCAACCTCATTTCCATGGGGATGGAGTGGCAATATATGAAAATAAGAGGAAGAGAAATGCAGAAGAGGAAGGCACTAGGATCCAAGGTGGTCTGGTCTGTTCTTTTGTCATTGCCACCTGGGCCTTTCTTTCAGGACTTGTGTCCATTGTTCTAATGTTGTTGAGTTGGGCTCTGGGCCTGTTGATGTTGCTGTCTGGGGTTCTGTGCTGATTGCAGGGCCAGGCACAGGCATGGGCATGAAAACCAGTGACAATAGCTTGTCTGTAGGGAGAATAGGGGTAAGTGTATGGAACGTGGAGGTGGAAAGAAGCACATGTTAGTTGTACCCATGTTTTCTGAGCTGTTTTTCTCCCTGTGAAGAAATAGTCTAAGAGAGAGTATGTGTGTGTGTGTGTGTGTGTGTGTGTGTGTGTGTGTGTGTGTGTGTGAGACTTAGTTGGTTGTCAGTGTAGCTTTAAATGCGAACAAGAGAGTTGATGGTTTCTGGATTTGGATGTGGTATAAAATGACTCAGTTACTATGTTTGCCGCCTCTCCAGCTTGGAGATGTTTTGCCTCTTTGAACAGAGAAAGCATTGTGTGGAATAAACTTACAGCATGTTATCTGTGATCCTGAAACTATTTAAAGCTTCTTGTTTTTAATTTTTTGTTTTGTTTTGTTCTAAAGCGAGTGAAGCCATGACCTAAAATTTAGAGGCACCCAGCATCCCTGCAGGGGTAGACTTACTCATATACAGCACTGTCTGTGTACAAAGACAGCAAGACAGGTCTGGACTCCTGTCTCCGATCGTGTTTTATCTCCAAAGTGAAAACACTATTTCAGATTAACTGGAAATAATGGCCACTTGTGATTGTCGGAACAGTTTTAGAGAAGTGCAATTCTGCCAGATTTAAATTTACTGCTTGAGCTAGGGTAGTAAGACTTTGACAAATAATATTGAGGTTTTAATGTAAATGAGTTAAAACATATTTATATAAATGAGTATCTGATTTATATCGACAACTGGTGTTTCAGTGTTACATGGCTAATGTCATTGCATAAGCGTTGTAGACCACATGCTAATGAGTCTTATATTCATTACCTATCTTAGTTAACCTTCACAATAGTCATGTGAGGCAGGCATTGACTTTATTTTAGAGACATTAATATGTCCATGGTCCCATAGCTAACAAACATGCCCAGAGAACTCAGACTTTGATAACCTCTATTATTCATGTTGTTCTGAGCTACTGCTTGCTCCTATCATCTTTTCCTTTTCTTTAGCGTGTATGTGTGTATTTGCATTTCTTTAGTATTTGTTTGGCACTAGTCATTGTACTCATTATTTGATGTTATCCACTCATTGGTTTTATTGTATCTTATTTAAAGAAAAGAACTAGGCACGGTGACTTTGATCCTAATACTCAGAAGACAGAAGCGGAAGCAAGTGGATCTCCGTAATTTTAAGATCCAGCTTGGTCTGCATAGCTAGTTCAGGCTAGTCATGGCTGCATAGCGAGATCCTCTCTCAAGAACTAAAGAAAGGGGAAAAAAAAGAAAGGAAGAAAGAAAGAGAAGAAAAGGAAAAACTGATCTCATGGCAGTTAAAATGAGAGTGGAACATGACCTTGCTCTGTGATTTAGAGCAAAGAGCTGCAAGATTTTCTTGGAGGGAGGAATGAGCTCAGGGTGCCACTAGTTACCAGGGATGTGAATGAATCAGCCCCAGGAAGTAGAGTGGGTAGCATTGTGCGGTCCAGAAGGAAGGCCAGAATAAGTGCTTGGATGATCTCCCTGGCTCTTTACTGTACTGGGCCCTCACAGAGACTGAATGCCATTCAGGTGCAGCTGTTTGGCCACTGACCACACTCTGGTGCTAGAGCTTACAGAAGGCTCTTGGAATTTACCGGTTGGGAGCCAGAGTTGCTCTGTACAGGCTCAGCTGTCATATCAGCCAGCTTGCTGGTGGAGGTGCAGTGAACAGGGCACTGTCGAGGATGCAGAGAGTCTATACTCCGTGGCCAGTGGGACGAGCTTTCAACAGTTGTCATGTCTATCACAAGGACACAAATTGACAGTTGAGGTCAGAGTTCGGAGGTAAAGACTATCTCATTTATTCGATTATTGAACATTTTTTTTTTAGCACTTACCAGATATCAGGTCAATGGTCTGGGCATGAGGGATTGTACAAAGAGTAAGATAAAGTCTCTGCCAGAAGTATCTCAAATTCCAGTAGAGCGAAGGGAGCCAGAATACACACACTCGCACATACAATCACACATGCAGAAGCATCTCAGATTGCAGTGGAATGAAGGAGGCCA